TGGTGCACTCCCCACAGCATTTGATGAAAAGCCCTTACAGCATCGGAACCGGATTCAACCCATCTTATGAGGCAGACTGGCTCAAGCCACATGCGTCAAGCTCAACTGACCGCTGATTATATGATAAGAGAACAGATGGTGGAGGATAATGAAGAATAACACGCTACTAATTGACTTTGACAATTTACAAGAAGTCATTGCGAGTCGTACGAATTTTTTGGTCATCTGTTGATTGGCATTCTGGTAGCATCACTCCAAATGTAAATTCGAGATCTTGCCACTGGTGCATGAGAAATTATACACCAGTAGCAAGGGGTTACATAGTTTACTGTCTTATCAGTAGTATCTACCTCTCCTTGGTACTTTGCCCTTTCATCGCCTAAGTGCACTTATAATTAAGCACACCCAAGCCCACATTAGTACTTACTTATCTCATTACAGTGAGATACATCACCCACGTTGGAAAAGATCCTTTCTCAACTCAAGGATTTCGCACCGATGTGGATAAGTAATCAGTTTTAGAAAAATATGGTTAGTTGTCCAGATTCCGCCTTTTTTACCAAAAATACTGGTAGATGTGACAAAGATGGGGGCTTAGGTCGTTTTCATGGTATACATCATACCTGACTAATTTATGGTTAGGACGATCTGAAATACAAAATGGAAGGAGTTCCCTCATTTTCAAATTTACAACACCGAGGTGACACGTAACTAGTCCGCGTAACTAATACAGTAAACAAGTCTGCCGCTTAAAAAAACAGACATATTCTGTAAAAAATTGATAAAAAGGCTTTAGTCGTTGTCTCCTCATGATAATTAAGGGCATGAACTTCTATTCGAGTGAGGCGGTTACAATGTCACAACAATTGCCGAAGTCATTCACATCGACCGTTTCTACCGTGGGTGAAAATCTCTCCATAATCCTGACGCACAAAATCACGTGATGCCTGGACTCCTGGCGCAGACCCCGCCTTGTGAACGCGTCAGACGTGTACCCTTACTGTTGCCCCTTCCTCCTCCTTCCACCGTGTGAAAAGTGGTGACACCGCAATGGCACTGAGCAAGGAAGGATGTACTGCCTCTGTCCAATTACAACGCCTAAGCCATTGAGACGGCACAACTGGCAAATAACAAAGCGACAAGTGGCAGTTTGAAAACGTATGGTGTTAAAGTGTACCAAGAGATCGTTTAAAATGCCATCGTTTCCTTTTTTTGATGACTTTAAAAAGTGCGATTTGAATTTAACGTCTTCGCAAATCTCTGTGACACGCCTAATTAACTTTGTACGACCTTGACACTGCCAGGTCAGGTACCGAGGACAGGTTAATCGCCTTCACCGCGTTAAAATAAATATTGTTAAAAGGTCATGCAGCTTTTTCTAACTTATGGAAAATCAGAATCCCTTTTTCACGGGAACTAGGTGGCTTGTACCCAGGAGTAGTCTATTTTTGAGTGCCAAGTGGCAAGTTCATTAACGCCTTTAATCAACCCTAATATTAGGCGGTACTGGAATCTGGCATGTCGCGGTGCCCCCTAATCGACTCCATAACCTCATTGAATCACCACAACAAAGGTACTTATAGCTTCCTATGGCTTGCATGAGCATTGTGAGCGCAAATAGTGAAGAAAACGGCCTCTACTGCCTGATCTGATTCCACTACTAACTCAAAGAGAGGTGAAATTGCTGGAAAACGACAAGGAAAGGTATCCGGTGCAGTCGATTGAGACCATGACAACTTCATTACTTGTGTAGCAGAGTGAGATATGGGTCCATTCAAGTGGGTTTTGCTCTTGTGACATCATTTGAGTCTTAGGCTCACTCCCGAAAAGAAGTTTCCAATGCACTTAACTTGATGGAGGTCGTGGTAGATGAATTGCATCTGCATACACGAGACGCGCCGCCGCCTTCTCACTAAAGCGCTTCCTAACCCACGAATGAAAGATTTCAAATCCGTACCATCCATTTCACCGCTTGAGGTAGATGAACGACTTAGGGTGAAGACGATAGCGAGCAATGGAGGATAAAAAGGTTGGCTACCTGTCTGCAAACGTGTCGTTGGAACACGATGTGGCGCTTAAAGTGGCGTTTGTACTTCTTCCCGTTGACGAAGATCATCTCGAAGTCATCCTCAGTGTCTGATTTGGTCTCAGCGTGACAGCACGACGTCTTATCCCCAATTGCATCGCCATTTTCTACATGCTTGTCGCACCAGGGATGTGGAAGTGATCCAGATTCATTGGCCTTGTGTTGTGAACTCCCCTGTTGACAAATGGAAAAGTCCTTCAGCCAGTAAACGGAATTGATGATTTTATGGATGAAATTGATGAAGAGTTTTCAACCAAAATGAGTCTGCACAGATAGGGGAGGCCTCCAGCGTTCTGCGAGACATCCTACCACCCTGCGTAAACTAGCCTATTCCAGGCACCTTTCATTAAGATGACAGGCAACAATAGCAGAGTTTGTGGGAGGATGAAGTCTCCTGTAAACGAAGGCGCAAAATTGGAAACCGTAATTATCCACTTGGATTAATAGACGGCTTCCAGCACCGTAAAACATTTCAACAGGGTCGACGTTTCAAAGATGCCCGTAAGTCTGTATGTCAGCAACAATCTCTGCAATGCGGGTCAATTTCCCAGTTCACAATCTCGAAAGTTGGTTCTGTGTCCACGTATTCAGCCAATGCGTGGAACCCCCCTCCCCTGATTCCAAATGTCCTGTCGAGACATAATGCGTTGTGTGGTCATCCACAAAGCGTCAACGGTTATGATTACACCAATGATGAAATGAAACAAACTGTCATTAGGATTATTCAGTAGCACTGACAAATTTTCACTCCTGAGATAAGTGCATAAATGCAAGACGAGACTGTAGAAATTTGCTATTTTTATCTTCTAGAAGCACAAAATACCGAGCTGTCGTGAAAGCCTGTCGTAGATTTTCAACATGAGTGAAAAAAAAGTATCTTTTTACAGGCCTATCGTTGAAAAGAGAAGCTCATATGGAGAGGATAAAAAGGTCAACAGCTCTGGCCATCGCATTGACTTGGAGTGTTGCTGTCGGTAAACAAAGGGAAAAGTACCTTTCCTACAAAAGCTGATAAACTTCGCGATTTGCGGTAAACAAGGAGCTATTCTGTAGGTTTATTAATATGAAGTGGGTGAGGATGTGGATTCTACGCGTCTTTTACTAAGACCTATCGCCGTGTTACATATAATAGAGATTTGAAGACGGATCACGTCTGAGGTGAAATAAGTGGACAAGAACTTCCTGCTTAGTCTCCTACGATTTAATGGAGTCAGGGTATGCGACCACCCATTCGCAAGGTTGGAAACAATTGGAACAGATGACTGCTGTGGCTTTGCGTTTTTCGTAAGATGAAAAGGTACTTCATCATGCAGTAAATACCAAATTTCTCAAAAAAAATATTGCAATTGTGTATCGAGGAGGTTAGAGCTGCCCTGGCTGAATGCGAGAGGCTCAGTTTGCCTACTTTACTTTCGGAAATCAACTCAAGCTTTGTCTTGGTGGATGCCTAGAGCACCTTGCATCCACCATCACCATTTTGCCCTCAAAGGTGATTTCGTGCACCAGATAACCTCTCATGTAACGCTGACCTCCCATCTATTAACCCAAAGTGACAATCCGTATTGTCAAATGGAAGGAGCCACAGTGCACACACTCTGACATGATAATTTTCATTCAGATGATGCGTAAAAATTATGGCAACATTCTGACGGTTCTCGTCTGCCCAAAAAACACTTACTCGCCTCCTTGATAGTTAATTTGTATCTATCAACCTTTTTTTTACAAAGAAGGTAGCTGGAATCTAAAGTTCAATCAATGCCTAAATGTCAATGCACCCGATACCTAATACCTCCTCGGGAAAAAATTGCGAAATTACTGAATGAAATGACTTCCGGAATGTGACTAGCAATAACACCAATCAGGCAACTAGGCAATTAACGGTGCCTACGTTGGCTGTTCATTGGACACCTAAAATGCCATTAGCTACATAAACTGAGACATTTAGTGAGGAGAAGAAATAGTCAACTCAATTCCACAAATGATGATGGCCTCAAAAGTGGAATATCTCTTGAAAATAAGACAAGTAGAGGGATTTACCTCGCCATTAAATCATGAAACCTGCTCTCCAAATCACACGACTATGTGCGTGTGTCTGTCCTTCCGCCACCTCGGAAATTAATCAACTCTAAGGTGAACGACGGCGCCCGTGTGTGTGCGAGTGTACACACTAAATGTGTTTTTGGGGCCTATCGAAGGCACCATCTCCACAGTGGCCAGGGTAGAGTGTGGTGGTGACTAAACTGTTGCCATAGCGAAAGTGGGGGGAGAGGAAGAGATTGGAGACTATTACCCCCACTTAGACGTACACAATTAGGCACCGGGTGAAGCACCGCAATTACACAACATGGGGGCCAACTGACACCCCGTGTAGGACCAGTCAACAGCAAAAAATCCCAAGAATGACTCGATTGCACCCCATTGCATGATACCACCCGTCTCGAGAGAGGGGTTGCATAATTCATACTTATTTCTCTATGGGAGAGAACTTGTGTCCAAATAAAAACTAGAAAGTTGGAAAAAATCACCACAGTACGAGAAAAATGTATTACGTTACAGTGATATGATCGTAATTTTTCTTAAAAAATAACAGTAAATATTGCCAAAAATGCAGTAAGGCAAGCCGGTGGCGGGAATTTGCCTCAAGTGGAAGGGAGTAAATTTGAGAGAGGGGTAATATTCACATCTAGCCTTATTGGCATGAAATGTGGCATCAAGATGAGAAGCAACAAACATGTGGTTATTTGTCAACACAAATGTCCTTGCTTTAAAAAAGAGGGTGTTTTATTTTTCCAGATTTGTATGAATCTGAGCCACATGAATCTGACCCGGATGTGATCCTCACGGCCCTTGCGATTGCATTTACATTTGGGTATACAAATTGTTCGTCGTACATCTTCATCGTGTCTCGTTCTTGAAATAAACATCCATCATGCTTAAAAGATATTCGTCATTATTTTTGCGCTTTTTTACCAGCACGTCCTTCAAGGGACCGAACAAGAGAGTTAGTGGTGTGCCGTGATGTCTGGGTTTTACAGACCGAAACATTAAACTGAAACACTAGCCACTCTAAAAATGCAATTTTCACGACCTTTTTTGTGGTGATGTGAAAATCAAGTTAATTCTCTTCTTTGAATATACAGAGTGCTCTTTCTAGTGAGAATCGGAAACCATTGATGTTTGGAAAACACCCTAAATATGTCTTTACCCACCCGAAATCATCTCTATGAGGTTGTGCTCCTCAATTAAGGTAGAAAAGTGGAAAATTTTCTCGAAAATAAGTTACGTTTTTTTCTGTCCGTTGTCAGTTTCACGTGTCCTTGACGCACTTAAGTGAGGGAAAATGAGGTTGATTAAAAGGGAAAATCCAGGTAAAAACATTTGGTGTCATTTGGCTTGCGGTAACCAATTTTCCGTAAAGAAGCTGGCAGCGCGTGTCAACGTAACCGACCAAAGGACGGAGAAAGGTGCGAATCTGTTAAGATACGGCCATCACGGTCTTTCTTCAATGGTAAAAGAGGCTACCAGCTAGGCAGCCATTGACAGCATAGCAACGGGCGTACTGTGTCTAGACTAAACCGAGGTCAAATTTGATGTCAAGCGGGAAAGCAGAAAGGACTAGACACTGGCGCACCTTCATGTAGATTTGTATGCTCAAGTGTTTAAAAAGATAAAAGAGTTCTTTGAATCGCAAATTGTCAAATAAACGTTGGCCATATGAGATTGTTTTGTATCTTAATATAGGTTTAACTCTTCTTCCATTGGGCTATGAACAGCTCTAGTCTGTGACTTAAGGTTAGCAGAAGATAGCAACAATACTTAGTTTAAGTACTCCAGCGACTCTTCAGAAAGCAACAGAATTGACAGTCAAGCGCTAAATGATTGTGTACATGCTCTACAGTGTTGATCGCGCAGCCTTCTAGGGGAAAGTACCCGTTAAGTGACAGGCAGAAGCACCAGCAAAAATACTTCGCTTAGGATGAATTGCTCATTGAGATAATTACCAGTAATATTAAGCACCCACCTCCTTGTAGGATCCGTTCTGCATTCGTCGGAGAGCATTCAGGACCTCGCCTTGCATTGAAGTGTCGCTAAGAGGATCTACTTCACATTTCGCCAGCGACGTCACTATGCTGTTTGGCAGGGCCGTCTGCATCAAAAATAACAATTTAATTAAACGAGTATCCAACATAGTCACACTTATGGGTGGTCAGTGAATGACATCCGTTTCAAATGTAAAAATCATTAAACACAAAACTACGCCCACAACAGTGACACAGAAGTTTGACCTTCCGATCTGCCTAGATGCTAACAACAGCGGTAGAGTAAACGCAAGCTTTCGTGAGTAGATGGATCCGACAGTACTTAAGCACGAATTGTGGCAGGATGTAGGATGACTCCATCTACGGAGACACATTAAGCAGCAACCAGGACAAATCTCCCACTGTTTATTAACTGTCCCACTGTGACAGATAACGAGGAAAGACTCACGACTGAAGGAGACAAAATGATGCTCACACTAATGAACGATAAAAGGTGGAAAAGCTGAGGAAGGGTAAGCAAATAATTAATGCAGGAAACAAGACACAAGTCTCAATTGAATCCAAATTTCACCAAGCCTTGCTTTCGCTAGAAGCCAAAAAAACCGCACCCTAGCCAAACTTTCACTTCCCAGCTATATTTTCTATTTCCCTTGTAGTGAAGAAGAGGTGATACAATCATCATTTGAAAGAACACCGAGGATGAGGTGAGGCGACGTCTCATTTCTAACCCACTTTATCCAAGATACAGATACATGACTTTCTTCCCAACCTGGTTCTCAAGGAGGTCGTCTTCCGTACCAAATGGATGGATGTAGAAGATGTCTTGCCTTCAGCAAGTGAAGAATGCCTAGAGGATAGTTCGGCGCACAGTCTTCCGTAAGTGCCTCAGAAGTGTGATGCAGGTAGTGGGTAAAATGTTTTGGGATAAACGATGCTATGTTCGTTCATTCAGTGAAAGTTGGCACAACAGCTCAAAAGCCATTAGCTCTTCTAAGTCAGTAGGTCCATCACTCAACAAGCAGGCTAAAAAAGCTACATTTCCACACTATCTGATACGGCACGTCTAGTGAATGACATCTACCGGTCTAGCTACGTGTCTTTCATTACAACTTTCCCTTCCCACCCAACCGTTTCACCACTTTCATTGCTCTATACATGACTGGAAATTCTTCTTGACAAGGTAATCTCTTGAGTGAATGTCTCCGTAGCGACACGAAATACTTCATTACCAAAAATGATAATTTCTTAAGCAGTTTGTTACCACAATGGAGTGTTACAAGCCATTTCTTGACAGCGCACCTTCGCCAAATGCTGTTCCACGCATCTTCGAAACCGGATTCAACTCACCTGGAATCATATGCATTGGATTCAACTGACAGTTGATGATATGAGAGGAAAATAAATGGTGGAGCGCAATGGGAAGCTGATAGACTGGCAATGATAGATCGACTATGCTTTAAAATGCATGCATATAGACAATCATATGCATTTGACATGTTTCTACAATTTACGAGTGTTCATCGCTGCAAACCACACCGACAACCACGCAAACGGCTGAGAGGTGCTAAAGCAGTAAAAATGTGGTCAAGAGGAAATGAACTTTAGATGCGGTTCTGAGAGCCTGCATCCTCTTTTGTATTCCCCGAAACACTTTTGCTTGTAGTCAAGTGTTCCTTCGAAACAAGATCAATGTACGAAGTAGGCCCGCTGTGGGACATCATCCAATCCAAAGCATCATCCAGCAAAC